AGCAGAGTCTCAGTGTCCTGCACAGAGCTGCAGATGAATGACAGAGAACTGCTCAGCTACTCACATACAGGCTCCGGCAGACAGAACCCTCTTCTGGATTCGGAGAACCAAAATGCATCAAAGACTAAATGTTATGGTGGTGAGATAGAATGTGCAACATCGGGATATTTCTAATTCTTCAAGTACCAGTGGCAGATCTGATCATGTTGAAGCTTACTGATTGTCTGATATTTCAAAATGTAGCCTCTGTAGGTCTCATTTACTACCAGGGCTTGGCCCCCCGTCTGGAGTTAGTTACAAGTAGAACTGAAGTCCGAGAGGAGCGTCCTGACATATGTGCCAGGTCTTTTAGTGTGACCCAGAGCAGTGTGGAGCGCAACACAGACAGCATTTTCTGTGAAGTTATCTGATAACCTGATTCTGTTATTATCTTTTTCCCCTTTCATGTCATGTTTGACAGCTGCCTTTGCTAGAATATAGTCTGTGGTGTCGTTTGCTCTATGAGCAGCATCTCTGAGTCTAATCAGATTCCTCACCTCTCCTTCACTCTCCTTATTTACTCTCCTTTGAACAGCTGTCCTCATGCAGAGCCCAGTCACCGCCCCAATAGTGATTTCGGATAAAGAACCAATCGCTCTGGTGAGAATTCAAGTTTTTGTTCATCCAGAGAGTTTTGCAAAGCCAGTCAGAAGCTACCCAGTAATACCTGACAAGTTACGTACAAACAAAGATGTTTGTGTGAATACAGAGGTTCCAGTTGATCTGCTCCCATGAGGTTGAGCGGAGCAGTTTGTTTTAAAAAAAGAAATGCTGGTAGACAGACATGTCTTGAATATGATTGTAGTGTTTGGGAGTTTCTGGTGGATTTGCTTTCACAAAGTTGAGTGGACGAGATAATTTTCAGATACAAGAGACAAAATATTCAGAGATGGGTACGAGTCAGAGTAGGAAGAAATCTGATATTCCAAAAATCCTCACACCCATTAGTAAAGCAAGGATGGAGAAAAATTCTAAAGGCTTAAATTCCTTTAAGAATGTGTCAAATTTGGGCTTACAGATAAAGGAAGTTTTCCGTGCAGGACGATTGGATCAGCTCAAGAAATTCAATGATAGTGAGATCAGAAGTCGACCTATTTTTTTTTCTGCAGCTTTGCAGTAAATCTTGGAAAGTGTGAATCACTGTTGAAGTTCACTCTTGACATCCAAGCGCTGATGTCAGTCATCCACAGGAATCTAAAGAGGTAATTGACAAGGTGATAACTGTTATCTCTGCGTTATCTTTTCTGGTCAGCAGGTTGGATGGTGGATGGAGGACTTGTGACCTGAAATTGTCAACATGTGGGTGGGATCGCTGAGGAGTGGAACCCACCAAGTTCAACACCTCAGCAGAAGGTCTGGAGGGATGGATCACCTTGGTCTTCCTCTGCTGATGGTTGGCTGTAATTGGGTGTTAATTCTTCACCTGGAGAAGGTCATTGACACACATGATGATGTAAGACTGCAGTGAACTTCATACTTAACAAAATACTTTCACAGTCCTGCAAAAGTTTTTTTGACAGTTCAATTTGATTGAGTGTACCCTCATTTTTTAGCATGCAAGTAATGTTTGTATTGCAACAACACTCTTGTAATATCTTTTCAAAAATCAGTGCTTTATGTGGGATGTTAATGTTTGTAGATGTGCTGCATAGCTTCGGCCACCAGGTGGTGCCATTAGTAAGTCAAGCAAAATTTGAGGCAGTGATTCACAGACAACCTTTCATCCCAAACATGTGGCAACATGCCAGTTCAGTTTCAAGTTGACCACTGACAAGAAACTAGTTTTGAAAACAGCCATAAAAGGACAGACATTTACAAATATGGGAATAGTGATGGCATATGTTTATAAGCATTATTAACAGAATGTATTAGAGGTATTTTATTTGTTAATACAATATTTTTCAGTGCAAATACTGCCTGACAGGTACAGTACATCAGTTTTCCAATGTTTTTTGTGCTACTGTTTCCCATTCAGGCTTTCACTTTAGCACAAAACAGACAATGATCAGTTTTAAATACATTTGAAATTCCTATCAGGGAGTCTGAGAAAAATAGAATCACATTTACAATAACGTGTCTTTGTTTTTTCAAACTGCACACGAGGAAAACATGTTCACATCAACTGTTTGCAATATAATGGCACATGTTGGAAATGTTCAAGTGTTGAAACACAGTGTTAGATCATACAATAGGTACGATGTGATGTTCAGCCACCACCTTCAGTGAACCTCTTACTCATTTGTAAATAGTGAAAACAACAGAAACTTTTAGACATTAACTATTTCAGTCTTGCTAGTCACTTACATCTTTGATATTTTGTGAAAGCACTGATCATGTAAACAGGTTTATCGCTGAGGATTACTAGGCGATCTTGTGATTGACTGGAAAACAAAAACCATAAAACATAAAGTGCCTACCCTAGCTTTCATAACAATGGAACTTGTACATACCTAATTTACTGACACCACAAGTTAGTATTTGTAATTTTTTCTTTTAAGTCACCAGAAACATGTAATAAATTAACATTTCAATGCTTTATGTTTGAGTTTTTGATATTCTAGGTTTTGACAAAAAAAAAATCACTTTTACTGCATGTGTGTAGTAATTCCAACTAAGCCATATCGACCCCCTTAAATACAAGTTATCTGTCAACCCCTAATAAAAACTTCAGTAGAAAACTGCAATGTAAAAAATTGTTCATTGACATGTTTGTTGAGTTATTCACGAGCTCCAACAAGGTGGAATCAAGACATACATTTTTCTAGAAGTTGATAAACCATTAAAAGAATCAGTCGTCCTTGTAAATATGAAAAGTTGCATTCTGGGGGGGGAAGAAAAGGCTCAGAGAAAATTCAAGTGCACATACAATTAAAACTGTAGATTTAGTTTCATATTGAGACTCTTAATCCAATGAAACCAAGTAGTCAACCGACTACCCAGAAACTATTTTGATAGCCAATTAAGTCATGAGAAAACTGCCCAAGTGTGCTGGTCCCGGCCTCTCCAATGTGAATATTTGGTGCTTTCTTAGGAATGCATGAAACAAAACTGGTTATTTTTTTAGACTTTATACTGATGGTTGGACAACTTAAGACATGAGGATATCGCTGTGGGGGATTATCCCAGCCATAGACAAAACAGTTACTTGAAAATCAGCAGAGGTTAATAGCTATCATTAAAATATTTAATGTATTAGTTTCTATGCATGCCTTGGGTTAAGATTTACTGCAGCACTTCTGAAAAAGATTAGAATTTGTTGAATCACTTGCCAGTTTCTTGGACACATTTTCAACAAATGAGACAGAAACTCCGGTACTTTGGCTTCAGTTGTGAAAGTCTGCCATAAGTTGTGTAAACCACCAAACTTCATTCTTACCCATGTTAAAGAACTGACTGACTTTTATTGTTAAAATTACCATTTTCACTGCCAGCTTCACAATTTTTATTACATATTCTCGGAGTAGGTAACACTCAAACCTTGCATTGGAAACGAAACTGAACACAGTACCGTTACTCTTCCTGCATCCAACACATCGTAAGCTAAAAAAAACATTTGGAGTCAAAGCACAGAAAACAGGCAAAGTCAAGATAATTTTCCAATTTGGCTGGAATGAAACGATCTTACAGTTTCGCCTTCAATGGGACCATGCCGAGTGATTGAAGGAACACGTCCACGGATGTCAGATACTCCTGTGTGTGTCTCTTTAGGTGACCTGCATGTGTTGAATGCTCCCACTTCTTTGCCGTCACAGTTATTCCCTGCAGCTGCCAGCAATCGATCAATTCTTCCAAAGTTTTTGAGTCACTTAACACGTCGTTTTCACAAAAGAAAAACAGTGCAGGAGCAGTGATGGGAATTTTCCAAAAAGCATCGAGGCCAATGTTGAAGTAGTCCACCGTTTGCTTTTTAAAAATGTCAAAGTATAACAGGCTTATCTTTTTCACCAGACCCTCCCAACGAGGAAATACAGTCTTACCGAGACCTGAGCAGAGAAAATACACATTATTGGCACTTAGAAACTCCTTTACTTCTACATCTATCATTAAATGTGTAAATACAGTAGCTTTGATGTAAACAATGAGATGATGCATCGTGGACACTAATAAAATGAATGTATGAGGTAACGCATGTTCATACTGACTGACCTGTGGCCATTGTCTCCAGACTTCCTGCCACCAAGCTGTCATAGACTTGGCCCTTGATCCTCTCTGCGAGCGGCTGATATTTTTGTGTGTCCTGGGATATATGTACCAGCAGCTGAGCAAACGTGAAGCCACCGATAGAGAAGGCATGGACAACTAGAGGGCGGGACACAAAGCGATCACTCTGCAGCAGCTCCAGCAGGTTCTTTCCACGTTCCAGACTCCAGCGAGGCCACAGGAACTCTATAACCTTGTGTAAAAACAAACAGAGAGCTAAAACACCTCTCGTTTGATTATCAGCCTTTTACAAAGTCACTACAACACTAGGTAGCTCAGGGGTGTGGACAGAGCACAGCTTTTATGTCTTAAAACAAAAGCTAAAAATGTTACTGTCCAAACTGCTCATTACTCCATAACCAGTGGATGTGAGCACCTGTGCAGCTAATCTACATGGACATGCTGGTTGAAGCTCAGGGTTAGGTTATTGCAAACATTACTGTTGGTAAACCTATAGAGTAGCTCTTCTGGGACTCCTCATTGCTGCTCCTATTAGCCTTAACTAAGAAATCGTTACACCAAACTGGATCAAGCTGTGCTTTTAACAGCCAAGCAAAGTCATACATCTGTTTTGTCTTTGTTCTACTGCATTCATTACTCCAAAAACAACAACAAACAATACATGCTTACATTACAGACAGATGCTTCCTGTGTCTAAAAACATAACTGTGGCTAAAGGATAACAGAATTGTAGCTTTGCTGTTAATATTTAATCAAAAATAAAAGCAACATGATACAGCTTAATCTATGATGACACTCAAATTATGCTTAACATGAGTTGTGTGTGGTTGTGATGAGTCAAACCTGTCGATTTACATTGTAGTATTTATTCAGTGTAAACTAATCACGAACAAGATGACTAAAAAGTTCGTCCTTTTGGCTATTTTTGGCTAATCTTTGTCCCTAAAAGATCTTTCCTTATTGCAATCAACACCTAAAGAATATAGATACAGACTAATACTCAAACAAGCACAATGCCCACATTCTCCATTCAAACAGTGCAGTCAGGTCTTACCTCACTCTCCACCACCAGCACGTCGAAGCCGGTACGAAAGTAGATTTCACAATACTTGGCCACAGATTGAGGACGTGAACCCAACCAGGGAAACATCAGCATCAGGGGTTTATGATCCTCAGAGCTCTGCTTATGACATCCTGCGGCTGGAGAAGTGAACTCACTCATGTACAAGGTGACATTTTTGCTGAGGCGGTGGGTGATAACCCTTCTGGTCAGCGCTGTCCTGGCCAACATAGAAGCAGTTGCCATGTTTTTGTGGACCACAAGTGTCTGAAGAAAAAAAGAAAGCGAGGAGACACGAACGAAATATTAAAACCAATCACCCAGGCTGCTGACATAACACCCTGTGGTGTTGTATAACGCTGCGTTTTGCTGTCCACAGTTAGCATTATGTTGAATTAAAGTAACGCTAAATCCTCGTTAGCTGTAGCAGCTAACGCTAGTTAGCAGTAAACTACAAGTAGCGTTAACAAAGGACACATATATGTTAGCTTTTGTGTTCAAAACCTCACGTTAACCCACGCTATAGTTAACAACAAATGCTAACATGTTTGTTTACAGTTACGCAAGGCGCTGTCAGAGATAATAACACAAGCAAAGAACCTGAAATAAGTGTAACATAAGCGAAGTCTTGACAGTAAACTTTAGTCTGTGTGCTGGTTGACTTACTGACCTGCCTTCAGTCTGTTTCCGGTGAACTAATGTGATAAATAGACCTCTCCTGTTTTAAGTAATTCCCAGTTGTCCTATTCTCACAGGTGTGTTTAATCTTCTTTTCAACTTTGCGCCGCATTTCAGGTAAACTGATTCTTGACCAATGCTGGATGGTGTCAGCCGGAGGACCGCAGGGGGCGGGACACTCTGCTGTGATTGGTGGACGTGGCTAGTAGACGTAACGTGATTGGTTGTTGAGACACGCTGGTCATGGAAGAGAGAGTTGTAACAGTGGAGGTCCGTAACGCTTGATGGTCACGTGATACACGGAGACTTTAAATAGCGCCCATGTGCACTCAGCGGGCAATTTCAAACTGCAAATAGGAAGAAATCGGCGATTTTTGGTAGTCAATAGATTAATTGATTTACAATATTTGTATAACACACCGACATATGAATGTAGCAAATTGCATCAATGTTTTTTTTAAAAGTGAATTTCGCCAGTATTAGAGGATTCGTGTACACTAGTGTTACCTGTCTGTTGAAATGTTTTGTTAACATGGTTACAGAGCTGCTGTCTATTGTTTGTACAGCAGTCAAGAGCAATCACATCCTAATGTGTGGTGATAGAGTCAGAGTGAGGGGAAGGGAAGAAATGTTGCATAATTCAGATTAAATCAATGTGTATACAGGCTTGGACAGACAGAAGAAGTGTGGTTTTTAACTTGAGCTTTTGGAACTGCAACTAGTCGTTATCGTCATCATAAAGAGAATTTTCTGCCGATGTTTAACAAAGTATGACCAGTTTTATTTGTTTCTGATGCGATGTGAATTTGTATAGAATTGTTCACTTTCCGGGTTTTCTTTTAGTTATGAATGCAAACCTGTCCAGCAAGAATAAAGTGTTGCTTTAAACTGTGCTTCAACAGAGTTGTAATGAGTGAAAAGTAAACCTTTCCATGCTGCAGCCCTGTTTTAAAACACCACTGATCAGCACCACGAACCATCACACAGCATTACTCATAATATGTATTACGTATTCAGTATGATTACCCATATACTTATTAGAAAATTTTAGTTTGATTTCTTATCATACATTTTTTTGTACAGCACTTTTCAAAAACACATGTACAAAGTCTTCACAGGTAAAAAAGCAAACCAAACAAAATTGACAATGTGTTGTAAAAATTCTACAAGAGATCAGTTCTAAGCAAGTTGTGTTTTTCCATAATTTCCCCGCTGTTTATTCTACGGATAAGCATTAGGAAAAATACAGTTACGCAACAATTTATTATAGTGTCCTCAACGACCCTTTAACTCAGCAATGCCTACAATTTATAATAAAATGCTGATCTTTCTCTTACCAGTCCGTTGATCCTGTCACCTCGGTCCACCCCACCACCAGGGCAATATCCTGGCCTCGCAATCCAGACCCATCTCTTAGGGAAACTGGGGTCAAGGTCTTTTCTCAGGAGTCCCAGACTCCCTCATGCATGGTTTTAGGTTCATATCTGGCTGGGAAGGCTTTTTTTTTTTAGTTTCCAAATGGCCCCGCGCTAGTGGCAGCTTGTTGCAGCAGCTCCGTTGTACTCGTCTCGTTTGTCGTTCGTTTTCTTTGTTTATCCTTGGAGAAATGTCTCCAGTTGTGTGCCAGTCGTGTGTCTTTTTTAGCTGGCGGCAATATGTGTGTATGTGTCTCTATGTGTAATGCTGCTAACAACAATGTGAATTTATCCATTGTGAGATAAATAAAGGCTTATCTTATCTCATCTTATCTTACCTTATTGTATCGTATCTTATCTTATTGGGATCCTGGATGAACCCCCAACATATGTTAAAAAAATTCTACAAGAGATCAGCTCTATATTCTATGATTCAATATTTGATTATAACAAACTGCACATTCTGGGCTCAGTCTCACAGCAACAAATGTTGATGAAAAGAAGAAGCTTCTGTCAGCGTACTGCTCCTTTAGTAAGTACAGAACGTCATGTGACTGGAGTAGCTAGATAGTTTGATGACACAAACCAGCTCATGTTGGTTTTGGGTTAGAATGTTCCTGCAAAACACATTCAACCTCAACAGACAAGGTCACAAGGAAAAGATCAGTGTCTACACAACATTCAGCAAGTTGTGTTTTTCCATCACAATGTAATTAGGAAATAACGACATGGATTGCTAAAATAACAAGATTATTTGTCTGTAATAGAATACATGTTTAGTATAATGACTTTAATACGAGTAGTATAAATACAATTAATAAAAGTCGTAAAAATACTTTCAATATTTAGTCAGGTTTCCTGCCTCATCCGTTACCTGTAAACATTCCTTAAACCCCCTAATTTAGTGAGAGGAAAATCCACCAACAAGCTTTAAAGCACATGTTGACTGGATTCTGACGCGCTGATAGTAAGAAATAGTACGTCTTGTCTTGTAAAAGTGCATCATAAACCATCTCCTCCTTTACAGCTCCCTCCTCTCTTGTGAATATGTCATCTGACAGGACAGAGCTCATTCACCATGTTCAGAGATTTGACCAAAGAATCAAACAAACTAATACGCTGCAGCATTTGCTCTTGGCCTCAGCTTTATCATAAAGATAACAGACGCTCCTCAGCGGAGGATTGCAGATATTGCACAGTGCATTTAAAATTAGGTTATGGCAACAGTGAGACTAATGTAATGATACATTTAGTACACCAAAATTGACTATAATACTTTTAACTTAAGCGTAAATGTGGTCTTCATGTCTGTTTTCAACCACTAAAGGGCTGTGGTGTCAGTCATGTTTGCTTATCTGGTTTATAAATAACCACCGAGCTGGAATCAGAGCATTACTGGGATCTCTTATCTTCAGCCCTTTGCAATGTCAACAAAATTGCCAGCATTTCCCAAATATGAACAGATAGTCCATCACTGACTCATTAGTGAATTAAATGACGAAATCTGGAACTATGAATGAAATACCAACTTTTTTTGTTTAGTTTTTTGAGGCTTCTGTGTAAATTT